GCGAGAGAAAGAGAGAGAGAGAGAGAGAGAGAGAGAGAGAGAGAGAGAGACGGGGATCGGGGATCGAGAGAAATGTAACACGATATCCAACGTCGTTTTTCTTCGACGTTTGGCCTTGCGCCTGGACGAAACTCGGAAACTCGGCCGAATACGCGTTATTCCATATTCTATATATATTATTCTATACTATTGTACATTATATATGTATATTATATACGTATTATTCTATACTATTGACTCGGTCGACACGTGCATCCGTATCGACGTTTTTATAATTATCAAAAAAACCGTCCGGTCGGGAAGAATTGATTAAAATTTATCGGTAATGAATTGCGGTTATTCGATTATATAGAAGCTAGATACAAAAAGCGAGCGAAACGTGTAACGCGAGTCGCGAATATCTCTCTCTCTCTCTCTCTCTCTCTCCTCGACGAGTCACGATGTATTATTAATCAGTCATACGTGGGATTCGCTCGTCAATTAATATCCCTTTTTCTTTTTTTTTTTTTTTTTTTTTTTACGTAAAGGATTCGCCTCTTTTCCGTGCCGCCATTCCCCTCCACTCACGGTCATTATCCTCCGTTATTGCCGGTTATCGATCAATTAGCGGGCCCATGCATGCAGAAGCGCAATTATGGCACGGTGCAACGAGAGATGATTATTGGAACGCCCGAGCCCGGCGCTCGCTCGTTTCGCAGAAAAAGGGAATTGTGCTCGGCCGCTCGGTCCCATTGTGCCGTTCCACCCTTAACGGTGGTACGCAACCACCGTTTGTTAATTCTCCCGCGTTCGGGTGAAATGGAACTTGTGTTCGGGCAGAGAGAGAGAGAGAGAGAAAGAGACAGAGAGAGAGAGAGAGAGAGGGGGGAGGAGCGCAAGATCGTAACGAATCTCGTAACCGGGTAAGCGGAAAGCTTACCGTGGAACGAGCCGCGAAATTACGCGGACGATCGTGTTGCGCTCGTGAGCACCCGACTAATCTCCTTACTTACTTTGCGCGTAACACCTGCGCCGTTTTACGCGGTTAAAACGGCGGCGTC